GAGTCTCAGGGTCTCTCCTGCCCGGGCTGGCTTTGAACCGTGATCCTCAGATCTCAGCCTCCTGAGTAGCTAGGATTACAGGCGTGAGCCACCAGCGCCCGGCTCCCCTTAGCTTTTTCATCCAAGACTGATGCTCTATCCCTTGAGCCACAGCTCTACGTCTGGCTTTTTGGTGGTTAACTGGAGATGTCTGGGTTGGTTTTGAACCGCGGTCCTCAGACCTCAGCCTCCTGTTTCCTCGCAGTGGAGTGCTTGTCCCTGCAGGACCAGAGTGTCTTCCCAGACTCCCACATCTCCGCTTCATCCCCATGTTCCTCTCTGTGGTGCACGTGTTGGTACCAGGGCCACCACGCTGTGTGTCCACCTCCACCTGCTCCCAGCGGCCCTAGCCTTGCGCAGCCCGGGGCATTTGCCCTCAGCCTGGGGCTCTGCGGCAGAGGCCCAGTACTGGGTCCCTCGAGCTGTCTCCAGGAGACTGCTTCTCTGAAGCCACTTTCAGCTCCATAAAAGGCTGCCCGGAGCCTCCTGGGCCTCCCCTCTGCTCTCCTCTCCCTGAAAGCGCCCCAGGCAGATGACGCCTTGCTGCCCGCCAGGCCCCACGCTCCCCCCATGCCTTGCTTGGCAGGCCTTGGGGGAGGGGCTCACCCCTTAGCAGGTGGAGGAGGGTAGAGACCAGAGTCCCCTCTGGGGGGTGGGGGATGACTCCATACAGCAGGGGGTGGGTAGAGATGTCTGATGGTGTGGGGGGGCTCTGTCCCTGCGGCCAAGTGCTAGAAGTCCGTTTGGTGCCACTTTTCCCTGTGGCCCTTGCTTGCTGAGACACATCCCCCTTACCCAGGCCCCCATGGGCCTGACTCGATGTACACGTGTCTGCCTATACCAAGTGAGGACGGACTGCAGGGAGGACCCCCGGGACCTGGCCAGGCCCTCCCAGGGCAGGGCTGAGTGGAGCTGGCCGCAGGCGCCCCTGGCAGGGCCTCAGGCCCGGCTCCTCCGCTGGCCGCCCCCGCACTGGGGCACTGAGGCCGTCTGAGCACGTGGTGCAGGCGCCCCTGGCAGGCGCCCCAGCCCGGGAGGGGCCAGGAGGGGGCCCAGCGGCACAGGCTCCTCGAGGACGCAGGCGGGGCAGGCGGCCAGGCTGCCAAGGTGAAGCCTGTCGGCGTGGAGTGCCGACGGCCAGCAGGGGACCGCGGGCTCAGGAGCATGGCTCTCCCCACCCGGGCTCCAAGCCCCCACAGTGGGGGTGGCCAGGGGCCCAGGGAGGAGACCGGGCTAGGATCCTCCCCGCGAGGGCACCGACCTACCTGTGGCACAGAGCGCCACGAAGGTCTGTGCGTGCTTGCGGATGACATGCTTGTTCTCCTCCTCCTCCGGCATTTTAGAGAGGAAGTGCTCGATGAAGTCGTGGGGGGTCATGGCGGCCAGGTTCCACTTGAGTTTGTTCACCAGAAGCATCTCCATTTGCTGGGGGGGGGGAGGGACAGGGGTAGATGGGGAGTAAGGTCAGGGCCAGGGGGGGGACCTGACACGCCAGCCACGAACCCCTGCATTTGGTGTGGTCTTGGAGTGGGAAGGGACGGAGGGACGGTGTTTGGGGGGGTGTGCCCCGAGACCCCAGACCAAAGCACAAAAGGGGCGAGTGGAGAAGTTCTGGGGCG